CACTTATAAAAGTTAACATGAGGGTTCCTGATGGTTAGAGACAAATGCAATCACATGGCAGGATGCTGTACACGGACCAAACTTCAGTCAGGAGAACAACTGAGATAATCCATCCACAATACCAGGTTAGTCATTAACCCTTTAAGACCTACCATAGCACCAAGTCCACCAGAGCTTATCTTTATATTCTTACATGCTGTGGAGCCATTTGTGGGAGCATTTCAAGTTGTTATACATCAATACAACAATTATAGCCCAGATTTTAATAATATGTATTCATTAAGTGCATAGTAATTACATAAATTGCAAAAAAGTGCAATAAACTACAAAAAAATTGAAGATCGTTTTTGTTTTTTTAACATATATTTCTAGTTAGAGAAATTTAAGAGGCTTATCCCTCAAAACTGTAAATACAAAAAAGTTGCACAAAATAGTTTCCAACCGGGGGAAATTTATTTTGAGTGTCTTCATAGTTTTATTTTTGAGATACACCAATTTTTATACACTGCAGGAAAAACAAAAATAAATATTATAATGCAAATTTGCAAAAAAACAGTCAGAATCTTTACCGGTGGCCAAATTTATATTGTTTCTAACGTATACCGTTTATACCGCCCACCCCTACATCACACACTGCCATCCTTTATATACAGGCTTACCAGCTAAAGTCAGTCAAATATTTTGTAACGTAAAACAGTGTCTGTCTTTGTGAGCGCGCATGTGTGTGCGTGCGTGCGCGTGCGTGCGCGTGTGTGTGTGTGTGCGTGCGTGCGCGTGTTAGCGCACGTGTGTGTGTGCGTGTGTCTGCATGTGTGTGTGTGTGTGTGCGCGTGTTAGAGCGCGTGTGTGTGTGTGTGTGTGCGTTAGCGCACGTGTGTGTGTGCGTGTGTGTGTTAGCGAGCGCGCATGTGCACGCACGTGTGTGTGTGTGTGTGTGTGCGCGTGTTTGTGCGCATGTGTGTGAGCGTGCATGTGTGTGTGTGAGCGTGCATGTGTGTGTCAGTTCACGTATAGCTTTGGATGGCTGTCTGCTGGCTCTTTGTTGTTCAGGCAGAAACCATAAATATCCATTCTCTGTTTTCATGTCTGTATCATTGTATCAGTGTGACACATATGATACATAATAACAAGATTGAGCATCAGAGTGATGGAGAGGAAACATTTTACTGTAACACTGATGTCACATTCTCAGCTCTTAACATGCATACAAGGCTCATTGTGCTCTCGTCCTGAGCCAACTGCGTCCAGGGTCGTAGGACTAAATCTGTGTTCACTAGTTAATATTTGATCATCTATCATAGATTAGAATTCAGATTCTTCTTGTTTTCACATCATAATGAAGTGTTTAGTTTTCTTATTTTTCCCACTCATGTTTTGTCTTTTAATGACTGTTTATGTCACACAGGCAGACAAAGACACACATGTGGCATTGGCTCCACCCAGGGTAATAGTTACTCATGGTAATAGTAACTCAGGGTAATAGTTACTCTGCTAGGGGTGGAAACTGTCCCAGTTCAAACAAAGGACAAAGTCCTCATCGTGCTCAGTTTGGTGTTGAAGCTGTACCTGTGCACTGCTCGTGCCCTGCAGCTGCTGCTCAATGATGAGCTTCATCAGCAGCCTCCATGTTTGTGTGTAGTCCATCCAGTACTTTGATTTTGTGGTGTGTCATGAACGTTAGAGACTAAAAGGAGCTTGCAGCAGTTTAACAAACCTTTATATCAGCCAGTCTTTGTAGTGTGTGTAGATGTGAGTTACACTTTGCACCATCAGAGTCAAACACTGGAGCTTTCCTTTGCTCTGCCTTCAGAGCTGTAGAGGAGACGTGCTGTCTTTGTGTTGTCCATAAATCTGGCTGCTTGGCTGCTGTTGGGACTGAGCTGCTAATCCATTATCCAGGCTTTTAAGACATCTGCACACATGCTGCAGCCCTCAATATAATAACACTGCAAAAAATGCCACACACACTTTCAACATGCTATCACACAGTAAGTTCACTTTGGCCATAGCGCCTTATCACACAGTAAACACAGAGAGCAGCTCTGTGCCTGCATGACAGTGACAGAGTGTTCACATTGCAGACAGACGGGCCTCCTGTTGCCAGCTGCGCACATTAAATCTCTCTTCTTCTCGTCTTTGGTCTAACAGGTCGGTTTGTTTAACTTCCGTCCGTCTGTGCGCCCGGTCCCACTTGAAGTTCACATCCACGGTTTTCCAGGACAGCACTACTGCCCCCGCATGGCCAGCATGAACAAGCCCACCTTCCAAGGTGCAGCTTTGTACACACTGTTTTTGCACGTTAGCACATGTGCACGTGAGATGTTGCTGGCTTTTCATGCAGCATTGTTTGGTAATACTCCTTGACCATGTGCAATATTGAAACGAACTACTGTTTTGGACTCTCCACAGCGATACGCGCTCACTCTCCAGCCAAGCCTGTGCTCATTTTTGTGTCATCACGAAGGCAAACTCGCCTGACCGCCCTGGACCTCATCGCCTACCTGGCTACAGAGGACAACCCCAAACAGTGGCTGCACCAGGATGAGAGAGAGGTTTGCTGACACACAGCAGCTCTTTCATGCACGCTGTGCTCATATGTAATAATAACATTCAAACGTTTTAAAGACCCTCAAGGTCACCTTACATTAGTACAACAAAATCAAAACAAGAATAAGTAGTATATATATTACACACACACACACACACAGACACACACTTCTGTTTATCCGGGGCTGGGTCGTGGGGGCAGCAGCCCAATCAGAGAAGCCCAGGCCTCCCTCTCCCGCCTCCTGCAGCTGGCCTGGGAGCACCCAGGCGTTCCCAGGCCAGGCGTTGGGTGATAGTGGAAAACCACCCAGTTCTACTGCTGACTGCTGCTGAGCTTTATTTCTAAATGTCATGTGTCCTTCTGTCCTTCCATCACAACATCACTGTCACTTCTAGAGACACTGGTCCCACAGCAGGATCCTCCCACAGCCGTGTTTCACTGCTGGGGCGGCGTTCACCCTCCCTTCTGATGCCAAATATATGATTAATTCATAGATTTGGATTCTTTATTAATGATGTTCACAGTGAATGTATTTAAGTTAGGCCTCCCTTCATGGACACTGAGAACATGTAATGAGCTGAGCACTGTGCCCGTCCTCACCTTTCTGTTACCTGTTTATTTATCTGGATTAACATTACTAATCTAACCTAAATTATAGATGTCAAAGTCATAGATCTGCTTTCCTGGGCCCTGCAGACTCAGTAAATATGCAGTGTCTTATACCATAGGCAGATTTCTGTGTGTATAGCCCTCCTGCCTCAGTGTGTGTGTGTTCCACTGATATATGCCGCTGCCTGCTGCTTCCCTGCACCGGCCTGTGTAACAGCTCAGCTTCCTGCTGTTTGACTGACAGGCTTCTAGTGATGGCTGCTTAACGCTCGCCGGGGGTCACCGCCACGACAAATCCCATCTCTGGCCTGACAGCTCTTTCTTCCCTCTGCTGCTGCTCTCAGGGCCTGATGTTTCTCTTCCATTTGATTTCTACAGCCTGAGCGTTATTATCTCATACCCACTGTTTCACTTCAGTTAGTGTATTTGAAATTTAAAATGTAATTTGAATCACTGTTTTTATTCAACGTCATCTTTCTTTCTCCCAAAGCTGGGTTGGAATTGGTTCTTATGTGCATCGTTTCATTTTACTGCTACACAGACACTTCTCAGAATAATGACATATTATCTCATATATATCTACATATATATACACACACACACACACACACACACACACA